AATTTTTGGACTGATTAATGTTGATGGTCTTTGGTTCTTCAACGTGGTCTCTATGAATACACACTAGTGGGTTAAGACAGTGCCTTCGCTGGCCTCTCGAAGTCTTCTAGAGCTGTAGGGAAAGTAAAGTTTGAGTTGCCCTGTATTGCGCATGCTCCGCCCGCCAAAACCCCAGTTCCATTTTTCCGCCAGCGGAGTTGGCTGCTTAAAAATTTCGTTTCTTCTTCGTGTTTTTTACTTGGACTTGGCTTTTCGACCTCCTCATCTCTGTTGCCCTGACTACGGATTGTTTTGACTTCTCTCTGCCTCTGGCAATACCGCAAGTACTCTCTAAATTGAATAATTGGAACCTATTTACCGCCTGTAGTAAAAGCCAGCTTCCTAAGAAACTGCTTATACACGGGACAGAGAGGATTCAGAATGATTAGATTAGTTACCAGGCAAAACTGGGTCCACTAATTTTACCTTAGGGCAGCTGAATCACTCTTTCACCAGGTCTGACCCAATTTCATTGAGAACCAAGGTTCCCACGTGAGTACTAGGGAAATATAGCCTTCTAGCACTCAGGAATATGTTGGACCCAAATGGTAGCGTAAGTAAACGTGGCCTTATTAAGTACATCAATTTAAAGAAGCCAATTAATTATTGTAGCTTATGGTCTATCCAAGAAGCCAACTTCCAGACATTAATCATATTCTGTTTTATTAGAAAAATAAAGTTTAGAAAGAAATTAGTTTAAGTAAGCAAAATAAGGCATATTCACACATTTAATTATTTCCAACCCCATCCAATCAACAAAAGACAGAATTCCTCTACAAAAAAAAATGAAAATAACAAACAGCTAACTATTATAATTAGAGGAAGGCTGACCTTCTCTCCAGCTTCAGAAAAACTACATCTTCAAACTGTAATTTCTGTTAAGTAAAGTTCATTCTTACTGTCCTTTCAAAAACAAAGTTCATTCTGTGCCTTTCTTCAGACGACCATCTTCTCTTTCTCCTCGTGCTGGAATTCTTCTTCTCTTCTCCTTCCCATGAGTCTTAAGTAAAAATGTTGTGTCCTTGCTCCTTCTGTACTAGGATAGTTGCTAAGTTACGAGATAAAGGTCACCTTGAGCTGCACAGAGTTGCAAACTGCAAAAAGAAACGTCCTTGGAATTTTCACCTCTCCAACTCACACACAGAATCAAATGGATTTTTCCAGGCTAACTTTGTAACTATAAAGTAAATCACTATTTAGCTTTCATAACCAAGTTCATCACACCTATTTGAGAGACTCTGGACATAAAAGGGTAATAGATAATATGCCTGAAAAATTGCCTATATTAAGAATGAGACCTGATCCTAAAGAAAGGCGGTGCTACATATGTTCAAAGGCTGGACACATTACCAAATATTGCAGATTTAAAGGCACAGGAGCTCAAATACCCAGAGGTGCAATTGTTTGTATTGAAAGAGCGGCCTCTAGTGTCCGAGGACATTTTAGCAGTCATGGAAATTTCAGACCATCACAAGGCAGATCAAGTATGAGTTGCAAGCAAAGTTCCAATGATGGAAAAATTGTTCATAATAATAACCAAGTGTTCCAAATATCTGATTATCAAGGTGTGGATAATAAGAGATATTTCCTTCTTCATA